TGGGCTCAGGCCATCCTTCCACCTCAGCCTCCTGAATAACTGGGACTAGAGGCATGCACCACCATGTTTGGCTAATATTTGTATTTTTTTGTAGAGATGGGGTTTTGCCAGGTTGCCTAGGCTGGTCTTTAACTCATAGTTTGCATTTTTATTAACCTATGTAACTGTTGAGAGACAAGTGGCAAATCATATGTGTGTGTATGTAAAATATATTTTTATATTATGTGGGTGTGTATGTTTAACACTGCATGTAAATAACGTTTGACATTTGTTGTCAAGCACTGTGTCTCCCAAGTGAAATTTTTTAAAGATTTTTTTTTTTTTTTCTAAAGAAGTTTTAGTTTGTGAGCAAAATTGAGAGATCCGGAGATTTCTCATATACCCAATGGCCCCACACACATTCATACCCTCCCCCATTATTAACATCCCACACCAGACTGTACACTTGTTACAACTGATAAACCTATATTGACACATTATCATTACTCAAAGTACATAGTTTACATTAGGGTTCATTCGTAATGTTGTACATTCTATGGGTTTGGCTGAATGTATAATGGCATGTATCCATCATTATAGTATCATAACAGAGTATTTTTGCTGTCTCAAAAATCCTCTGTGCTCTTTTCCCCTGAAAACCCTTGCAATCAGTATTCTTACTGTCTCCCTAGTTTTACCTTTTCTAGAGTGTCATATAGTTGAAACCATACAATATGCAGCCTTTTCAGATGGGCTTCTTTTCACTTGGCAATATACATTTCAGCTTCCTCCGTGTCTTTTCATGGCTTGTTTCTTTTTATGGCTCAGTTTCTTTTTAGAACCAAATAATATTCCATTTTCTGGATGTACCAGTTTATTTATTTACTCACCTACTGGAGAACACATCTCGATTACTTCTAAGTTTTGACAATTAGGAATAGAACTCTAGCAAACATTTGTGTGCTGGTTTTTGTGTACACATAAATTTTCGACTTCTTTGTATAAATACCAAGGAGCACAATTGCTGGATTGTACGGTAAAAGTATGTTTAATTTTGTAAGAAACCACCAAACTGTCTTCCAAAGTGGCTGTACCATTTAGTATTCCCATCAGCAATGAATGAGAGTTCCTGTTGTTTCACATCTTTAACAGTATTTGGTGCTGCCAGTGTTCTGAATTATGGCCATTCTAGTGTGTATTGATACCTTATCATTGGTTTTCCAAGTGAAATATTTTTGCCTTTATCATTTCGTTTTCTTTTCTCCACTACTCAGTTTTTACTAGGTACTTGTCAATCATGCACCATAAGTTTTAGAATTATCCTTTTCTTTCCAACTTAACTGCCCATACACAATTCTGTACCCTGTTCCTCTTTTGGCTTGTTTACTTTTGGTAATCTAGGAAGTCTTTTCTGTTGCATTTTCTCTCTCACTCATTCCTTTTGTTTGTTTGTTTTTTTATCTAAAATGGTTCTATCTGAAAGTCCCCTATGAATCTATGATGGGTTTATGTAGTGTTTGTTCAGGGAATGAATGAATTGAATATTCATACAAAATTTTTTACCAAACTGAAGCTGCTTTGCCTAGTTTGCAAGGACATCTGTAATTTGATTTTTTTCTTATCTATTCAGTTGATCTTCCTACTTCTCCCCTAAAGAGTACCTTTTGTCCCATTCAAGCAGTTATGCAATACAGTTGACCTTTGAACAACACAAGGATTAGAAGTGTTGACCCCTTGCATAGTTAAAAATTTGAGAATAGTTTTTGACTCCTCAATAATTTACTAATAGACTGCTGTGGACCAGAAGCCTTACTGTAGCATAAACAGTCGGTTAATGCATTTTGTGTCATATGTACTATATAGTATATTATAATAAAGTAAGCTAGAGAAAAGAAAATGTTATTAAGAAACTCATAAGGAAGAGGAAATATGTTTACTGTTCTTTAAGTGGAAGTGGATCATCATAAAGATCTTTTTTCTCATCATCTTCACATTGAGGAGGAGACTGAGAAGGAGGAAGAGGAAGAGGTTGATCTTGCTTTCTAAGGGTTGGCAGAGGTGGAAGAAAATCAACATACAAATGGATCTGCACAGTTCATGCTCATGTTGTTCAAGGGTCAACTTATATTGTTTTATGACTATTTTTTCCTTTAATTATTTCTTCTATGAAAAATTCCCTTTGTATTCTTTTTCTAAATTCTGCATTCTGCTTTACCTTCTCCATGAAACCCTCTCAGACATACTGAATGTTTCCATTTTTTAAACAATTGCACTTTTAAAATTAATGCTTTATTGTTTAGTACTAATTATTCTCTAATTGAAATCATTTTTGCCATTTTGCCTCTGGCAAAAGTCAGACTTTGTCATCTATGTTCTTTATCTGCTGCTGAAAGAAGTGTTTAGCTTCAAAAGAAGAAATGAGAAGTTACGTAGATGGAAAATAATGGCGGTCTGAAGATGACTTTAAATAAGACATGGGAGCATGATTGAAACATGGGGTTGCTTTATGGAATATTCTGAGATTATATTAGATAGGGATATGATTATTTGATAGAGTAGTAGCTGTGGATTTTTAATAGACACTAAGGAGCTGCTTTAGATACTTGAGTAAGCATGATGTGATGAAAACATTAGAAAGACATATCATTAGTTTATAATATATTGGAAGAATTGAATATTAAGAAACCTTCTAGAAGATGCTTGTAGTAATCTAGATATTGATGGATAATGTATATATTCTAGAGTCAAAACTCATAGTTGAGCAGGATCAGAGGATGGAGTAAGGTAGAAGCTTTTCCACTTTTGTAGAGAGACATAATTATACCAGTTTATGTGAAACTTTGCTACTCTTTGAAAGTTTGATGCAGCAAGCTATGTTATAGCCAGCTTTTAAAAATTATTAATCATTTACATTTGTAATGTTAATGTTGTAGGCGCTAGAGGCATATGAATAAGACAATGTCTCCTACTAGTTTTTCAAACCTAACATAAGACTTGGCTGAATATAATATTTTAAGTTAAGTTTTGTTCTTGATCTGTATCCCCTTGTTTTGAATCTGTGCCACATTCTCTGCCTCTCAGTGTTTCCCACCATGCTGCTGGTCGGAGGACAGGGAATTGGGGACTTGGGAGAAATAGTGAGTCCCTGAGTGTCTGTTAGTTCTCCCTGAGCTCCCAGAGAACACCTTTTTGGTGGATATCCTAGATAGAATGAATATGAGCATTCACTTTCTTACTAATTATAATAAATCTTCTTTGTTTTTCTTATATCTGTAGGTCTCATCTGGTCTATCTGCGCTAGTGGTTGTGAACTACTGCTCTAGTCATTTAAAATGTGATTCATTTGCACTATGTTTATTGAAACCCAACTTTGTAATAACGTTTTATAAAATCAAGAAATGATGTGCATCTGGTTTGAAAGGACCATACTCTGTTTTAGACTGTTGACAAAACTTCAGAAACAGCATCTGAAACTAACTAATACGCAAATTGTGAAATGCTGTGATTTAGTGTTCAGTAATACTAGTAATACATGTATGTGTGTAGTTGATAGAAATTGGAGATTGCTATATTGTTATATTTCATATATAACATGTTATAATTAAAGATTGTTATATTTCATCTCAGATTATTCCAGGACTACAGGAAGACAAATGATGGTACATGTAACTCATGCAGAAATTTTTGAATGTTGTGTTTTTTTCCTCCTATTACATGGTACAAATTACTTCCATAATTGTTCAGAGTTGAAGATATATTGAAAAAAGAGTATAAACATGAATCTCACAGTGAAGGCAAATTTTTATGAAGTATCTATGATATATATAACCTGTGGCAGTGTTGGCTAAGAGGTTAATCAGAAACATCTGTTAAGAATACAAACAATGTTAGTTTAAGAATATTTATTATATACACATGGTACAGTTACCTAAAATAAAAACTTTAGTCTACACAAGTTTAATATTTAAACATATTTTGACAGGATACTAATAGCTTTTAGTCTATTATAGTAGGAACTATTAATGTGGGCATTTTATTTTCAGTTTTACTTCATAGTCTTGTGCATACATTTGGTAATTGCATTAGATGGTTATTTAAACTTGAAATTATCTCTGTGCCTACAGGCTTTATTTTTTACATATATTTTTAGTTTAGTATGTATGTTAGAACCTGTATTGGTCAGAATATCCTGCTCAAGAGTAAGATTAAAAAAAATTCTCCCCAGCCTTCTATGATGCCTAAAATCATAAAGACATTAATTTTATCTACATGCAACATGATTAGGCAGGAGAGCTAAGCTACCAAAGTTGCAGCTAGCTACTACTATAATCAGATATTTTTCTGATTAAACTCACTGATGATTAGTACAGAACAGAATGCTAGGAGAATAGGACAAAAGATGGGAGAAGAGATGTAGGAAACGTTTTAGAACATGTAACTCAGATGTTTTACATTGGAGCTTTGGGCTATTTGCTTTAGGACTTTGGGTTCTTGGGAAGGATTTTGAAAGCAGCAACAAGGATAAACTTTCCTTACAAAGTTTTCCTAGGAGTAGTAAAATTAATAATTCTGCTTTTTTATTGACTTTGGAAGTTCCGCTGTACTCTCTTACCTTATGACTCTTTTTCTGTTATTCCTTCTGATCCTTGCTGTACTTGAAATCATTTTAGTAGAGTTTTCAGATGTCCCTTAGATCTCCTTTTGGGATTCAAGGACTGCGTATTTCCAGTTTAATGATTTGTCATTAGGCAACATTGTTTACTTAATTAAAAGCATAAAATTTCCCAGATACGATAATAATCATCACCATTTATTGAACCTCATCAGTGTGCCAAGTAATGTGCTAAATGCATGATATACATTTACTATTTCATTAAGTTCTCTAAACAGCCATACAAAGTATGCATTCTTAGTCCCATTTAATAAATTTAACACTGTCATTTTCTATTGCTATAATAGATACTGCAGACTGTGTAATTTACAAAGAAAAGTTTATACTTCCCTACTGGAGCACCTCATACCTGTGGTGTCCCCACTGCCTCTGCTGGAGCACTTATGCCCATGGCTCTCCTGCCATCCCCATGGTGTGCTCTTGCCAGTAGTCTGGGAGCATGTTGGCCCCTCCAGCCCATCTGGGACTTGACCTTGAAGGACCAGAGGACAAAACTGTGAACCTGGTCTCAGTCTTGTAGGTTTAGGGTATGCAGCGCAGGAGTCTGGAGCTCAGCCTTGGCCCCTAAAAGCATCAAGAAACAAAGCCATTCAACTATACCCAACTTGTTGCCAGAGTCAAAGCCCTCAAGAGTAATAAAGACCTTAAAATAAAAAAGCCCCATCCAAAGGACAGCAGCTGCAAAGGGTAAAGGAACATCAGTGCTCACAGATGAGAAAGAACCAGCACAAGAATTCTGGAAGCTCTAAAAGCAGAGTGTCTTTTTACCTCCAAATGATCACAATAGTTCCTTAGCAATGGATCCAGATTGAAATGGCTGAAATGTCAGACATAGAATTCAGAATCTTTGTGGCAAGGAAGCTCATCGGGATACAAGAGTTGATTGAGACAATCCAAGGAAAACAGTGAAATGATCCAAGATTTGAAGACTACATAACCATTTTAAGAATAAAACAAACTGAACTTCTAGAAATGAAAAATTCACTGCAGGAATTTCAAAATACAATTGGAAGTATTAATGATCGAATAGACCAAGCTGAGGAAAGAATCGAAGAGTTTGAAGACCACTCCTTTAAGCACACATGCAGATAAAAATAAAGAAAAGAAATTTTAAAAAATAAACAACACCTCTGAGAAATATGGGATTAGGTAAAGAGACCAAACCTCCAACTCACTGGCATTCCAAAAAGAGAAGTAGAGGGAGAGAGCAAGCAACTTGGAAAACATATTTCAGGATATATTTCATGAAAATTTTCCTAATCTCACTAGAGAGGTTGACATACAAATTCAAGAAATTCAGAGAACCCCAGTGAGATACTATGTAAGACAACCATCTCCAAGACATACAGTCATCAGATTCTCCAAGGTAAACACAAAAGAAAAAATCTTAAAGGCTGCTAGAGACAAGGGGCAGGTCACTTACAATGGGAACCCCATCAGGCTAACAGTGGACCTTTCAGCAGGGACCTCACAAGCTAGATGAGATAGGGGGCTTATTTTCAATATTCTTGAAGAAAATAAATTCCAACAATAATTTCATATCCCTCCAATCTATGCTTCATAAAGCAAAGGAAGAATAAAATCATTTTCAGACAAGCAAATGCTAAAGGACTTTGTTATGACTAGACCTGTGTGATCTAGAGGGAGTACTAAACATGGAAAGGGAAGAAAGATACCAAAACATATTTAAGGATATAACCCCATTGACACTATAGAGCAACTACATAATCAAGTCTACATAACAACCAGTTAACAGCACAATGACAGGACCAAATCCTCACATATCAATATTGACTCTTAATGTCAGTGGGCTGAATACCCCACTAAAAGACATACAGGGGCAAGTTGGATAAAGAAGTCAAGACCCACCTGTCTGCTTTCTTCAAGATACACATGTCACAAGTAATGACACCCATACGCACGAAGTAAAGAGATGGAGAAAGGTCTATTAGGCAAATGGAAAACAAGAGCAGGGGTAGCTATTCTTACATCAGAAAAAAAAAAAAAAACCAGACTTTAAACTAGTAATGATCAGAAAGGACAAAGCAGGGCATTACATAGTGATAAAGAACTCAACCTAACAAAAAGACCTAACTATCTTAAATATATATGCACCAACATTGGAGTACCCAGACTCATAAAACAGTTTCTTATATATCTACAAAGAGATTTATATAACCTTACATTAGTAGTGGGAGACTTCAGCACCCTATTAGACAGATCACTGAGGCAGAAAACTAACAAAGATATTCTGGACTTTAACTCAACACTTGACCAATTGTATCTGATAGAGATCTACAGAACATCCAAGAACACCAGAATATACATTCTTCTCATCTGTACATGTTACATACTCTAAAATGACCGCATGCTTGGCCATAAAGCAAGTCTTTTTGAACAAATTCCAAAAAATTGAAATACCAACCACATTATTGGACCACAGTACAATAAAAATAGAAATCATTACCAAGATGATCTGTTAAAACCGTACAATTACATGGAAGTTAAACAACCTGCTCTTGAAGGACTGACTTTTGGCTAAAGAACAAAATTAAGGCAGAAATAAAAAAAAATTCCTTGAAACTAATGAAAACAGAGACACAACATACCAGAATCTTTGGGACACAGCTAAAGCAACATTAAGGGGAAAGTTTATAGTGCTAAACACTTACAACAAGAAAGTAGAAAGATCTCAAATTAACAACATAATGTTGCACCTAGAGGAACTACAAAAACAAGAGCACACCAACCCCAAAGCTAGCAGAAGAAAATAACCCAAATTAGAGCTGAACTGAATGAAATTGAGATGTAAAAATCCATACAAAAGATCAATAGAACCAAAAGTTGGTTCTTTGAAAGATTAAACAGATTGTTAGGGCACTAGCTAGATTATTAAAGAAACAGAGAGAGGATCCAAATAAACACAATCCGAAATGATGAAGGTGGTATTACCACTGACTCCACAGAAATACAAAAAACATTCTCAGACTGTTACAAATACTTCTAGGCACACGAATAGGAAACGTAGAATAAATGAATAAATTATTGGAAACACATCGCCTCCCAAGATTGAACCAGGAAGAAATTAAAATCCTGAACACACTAATAATGAGTTCCTAAAATTGAATCAGTAATAAAAAGCTTACTAACCAACAAAAGCCCTGGACCAGATCGACTCACAGGTAAATTCTATTAGACATACAAAGAAATGCTAGTACTAATGCTACTGAAATTATTCAAGAAAATCATGGATGGGGGACTCCTCCCTAACTCATTCTATGAAGCCAGCATCATTCTGAGAGAGGAACGAAAAAGGAAAACTTAAGGCCAATATCCCTGATGAATATAGATGCAAAAATCCTCAAGAAAATACTAGTAAAACGAATCCAGCAGCACATCAAAGAATTAACTCACCATGATTAAGTAGGCTCCTGCCTGGGATGCAAGGTTGATTTAACATGCAAATCAGTAAATGCAGTTCACCATATGAGCAGAATTAAAAATGAAAACAATGTGATCATTTTTAATAGATGCAGAAAAGGCCTTCGATAAAATACAGTATCATTATATGCTAAAACCTCAACAAATTAGGCATTGAAAGAGTATACCTTAAAGTGATAAGAGCTATATTATGACAAACCCATAGCTAATGTCATACTGAACTGGCAACAACTGAAGCATTCCCCTTGAGAACTGGAACAAGATAGGGATACCTACTTTTACTGCTCCTATTCAACATTGTTCCATTTTATAAATTTAAGACTGAGGCCTCTGAGAGACTACCTAATTTGCCCCAGGTCATGCACAGTAAGGACTTGAACTTCAAAGACTTAGTACTTTATAGAATAACACACTACCTCTTAGAATATGAAATTTTAATGAAGTTGAATTTTGTTATTTCATATGAATATCCTCATTAAAACCCTTATGCAACTTCATACTTTTTATGCATCCTGAATTCATAGAGTATTTTAATAGCAGAACTATCATTATGAACTTGTATATCCTTGGCCTTATATGGCATCCTGTTGTCATGGACTCAGGGAGATCCCCAGGGTAAAAAGTATATTGAAGAGAATCAGGGAAAGAACATAGAAGGTAAGGAGATACTGTAGAATTGAGGAGGCCACAAGGACCATTGCGGAATTTGGTGACTTTGGCGCATTCACCATCTTGAATTGGTGTACATTGTCTTTCTCTCTTTTAAAGGTTATTTAGCTGATGTGGAGGAAGAAAGTAGAAAGAGAGCAGCAAAACAGATCTGTTTTTCAACCACTCTTTTCTACTGAGCCCTTATTTTAAAGATTGTCAATAAAATATCATTGAAATTCTCATGGGACAGAATAGCAGGATAGTTCACTGTTTAAGAAAAGGCTCATTGACCTTGTAGTTTTGAGATCTTGGGCATGTTTATCAACTTTTTTCATATGTAAAACAAGTATAATAATAACTACTCATATGATTATTTAGAAGAGATATTGTACATCTGTCCATCCATTTGTAAATGGTAAGACTTGATACATAGCAAATACCCAATAGCTGGTAATGAATGTTACCAGGTAGTACAATTAATCTGCATAAAAGTTTTTAGTTTTTGAATTAAAGTCTGTAGATCTCTTTTAGTTTTCTATGCAAATTAGCTCTTAACGCATTTTTTTTCCTAGTGAATAGTAGTAACTGTGAATACCTCTTGCCCCAATTGTGAGAGTCATAAATGGATGAAACAGAAACATGTAGAGTAGTTACTGTAAAGGATCAGAATTGTTCCCAGGTCAAAATAAAACTTGGATGAAATACAATTGAATATATTAATTTTTTTTTTTTTTTTTTTTGAGACAGAGTCTTGCTCTGTCGCCCAGGCTGGAGTTCAGTGGCACAATCTCGGCTCACTGCAAGCTCCGCCTCCCGGGTTCATGCCATTCTCCTGCATCAGCCTCCCAAGTAGCTGGGACTACAGGCGCCCGCCCCCACACCCAGCTATTTTTTTTTTTTTTGTATTTTTAGTAGAGACAGGGTTTCACCGTGTTAGCCAGGATGGTCTCAATCTCCTGACCTCATGATCTGCCCGTCTTGGCCTCCCAAAGTGCTGGGATTACAGGTGTGAGCCACCGCGCCTGGCCTATATTAATAATTTTAAAGGAGAACTTTGTAAATTACAGAAGGTATTGGTCATTCAAGAAAGGGGAGAACAAAGAGTTGCAGATTAAAGGTTAGCAGTGCCCAAGAAGAGAGATACTAAGGCTCAAGTATATAAATATTCCGGCTGGGTGTAGTGGCTTATGCCTGTAATCCCAGCACTTTGGGAGGCTGAGGTGGGAGTATCACCTGAGCTCAGGAGTTTGAGACCATCCTGGGCAACATGGTGAAACCCTGGTGTCCCAAAAAAACAAAAAATTAGCTGGGCATGGTGGCATGTGCCTGTGGTCCCAGCTACTCAGGAGGCTGAAGTGAGACAATCGTTTGAGCCTGAGAAGCGGAGGTTGCAGTGAGCTGAGATCGCACCACTGCACTCCAACGTGGGTGACATTTTTCTTTTTTTTTTGAAAAAAAAAAAAAAGAATACAAATATTGTCTAAGAATGGGCATATTTTTTCTGATTTAATAGAAATTAATCTATAAATTTATAGAAATTAGTATTTATTTGCAAATTAGTAATTACTAATAGAAATGTTTGGTTTTCTTAGTTTGACATCACTACATAATAGTCAAACTTTAACTCATCTTTCTCTGGTCTCATGTTCACAAATAGATCTTATGATTATAATCTGGGTTCTTTTGGAGCGTACGTTCCGAAGACAGTATTCATTGATAAGACTATGAGAATGTGTAGCCCTTTGGCAGTTAAATTTTATAGCAAAAATTTATAAATTACATTTCTGCTGGATCTGTTTCTCATAGCTTAGTGTAATTAAGTGTTTGTAAAATAGTCTCTCTGTATGTTAAGAAATCAGGTTTCTTTGCCTGCTAAGAGCCAAACTGGTGCTTCTCTACCAGTGTCCTGTGGAAGGTATACCACAAGATTTTAATAAATGTAACTTCTATTACTACTGCAACTATACAGTTTTGTTTTGGCAGTGTATAGCAGAACATCAAGCTGAATAAGTCATAAAAAATGATGTAACCTAGGGTACCTAGAGTGTAATGAGAAGTCAGCATCAAATAAAGATTTCTGGACCATTTGCTTCTAGAGTCAGTGATGGAGCACAATTAGAGCAGTATCTACTTACACTCAGAGATCATCTACAGAAGATTAATTTTCAAGCTTCCATATTAGTAGGTAGTTTCTGTTTTGTTCTCTACTGAATCTCCAGAATGGTAGTAGGTGTTCAGTTAATTCTTATACAGTGAATGAGTGAATAAAATAAATATTCAATGAGTGTTGAATAGAAGGTCAATTGTGGACATATTAGAACCTAGAACATACTTCTTAATGACCTAATAAAGATGCAGAATTTGGGTACTAACATATATATCCATTACCTTGTTCTCAATGTAGACTGAAAACAACAATATAACCGTTCAGTTTAGCAGTTGAAAATATATATATAAGTGAACCATAACTTCAGAATTTGATTCCTTTAACATTCCACAGTGATGTGATACATGAAAAAGAGTTTTAAATACTTAAAATGAGACTGTTTGATTTAAAATGGGTCTTTTTATGGGTACTGTGAGACATTACTCGATGGTGGTGTGGTAGTAGTAGTTGTTATAATCATTGCTGACTTTAGTGTTTTTCTGAGACTTAATTCTTTAATTCCAAAGTTATCTGAGACCACAAAAGGATGAGATCCCTGTTCTAAAAAATAATAATAAAAATAAAAAGAGATCCCCATTCTAGAATGGAGTGAATCCTCAAGGTAAAGTAATACTTCTAGGGACTTATGGGACCAGCAGGTGATCCTCTCCTAGTACCTTGCCAGTGCAAAGCAGCCTGTTTTCAAACTTCCATGTACTCAATCAGTCTTTACTGTTATAGCAGCGCAGTACAGTTTTTCTGGTGAACAAGAGAAGTGAATGGTAGAATTAGTTGTAGGCATGCTAACATTTTATTAACAGAAGACCTGTATTGGGAAGTTACATCTTTTAAGACTGTGGTTTAGATTATCAGGTGAATGAGAATTTCCTTGAAGGAAAACACCTTACCTATGTAGACCAGACTCTGTAACACCTTTTTTATATTGGGTTTTCTTTTGGCTACAGTACCAGGTTATGAGGCAAAATACATATAAACTAATAATTACAATGTTTGCTTAGCTAAGTGGTTTTATTCTGAGTATTTAAAACTTTTTCCCCTTATATCACTATGGAATGTTATGGGAAGGAAAAACTGAAGCTATGGTTGACTTATGTAGAGTTTTTGCTATAACGACTGATTAGTTACAAGATGTTTTTCAGCCAAAGTTCTTAATAAAGTATAGAGTTAAGATGTGTTAGCAGCCAAAGTATGCATATTATTAGGTCATTGTAAAATATATTCTAGGGTTTATATATCCATAACTGACCTTCTATTTTATTTAACACTGATGGAATATTTAATGAAGTATGGGTGCTAAAGAATTTTATTGATTGTTTGGAATATTTAAGATCAATAGATTTGTTATTTGGTAATGCAGAAATCCAAGTTTTCTATGAGTTCGGGATTCTTTGAAATATTTTTAGTTATATTAAATTGTTTCCAGAAGGTGTCACATATTTCTTTTTCTTATTCAGAACATATTAAACAACTTGTGTCATTTATTATTAACTATTACTAATGTGAAATACTTTATAATATAATAATATTTACACATTTAGGACCTACTGAATTGGATAGGGTTCTTTGTTCTACCATAAGTGATTTCCAGGTAACTATTAATTTTGAGTTTCAGTTACTTATTATCTATTACCATATAGTGAACTACCCCAAAACTTACTGGCTTTAAAACAGCAACAGTTTTATTTGCTCATGATTCTGTGAGTCAGCAATTTGGTCAGGGCTTAGCTGGACAGCTCTTCTGCTGGTATCTCTTGGTATTAGTCATGCAGCTATAGTCGTTTGGGACCTTGACTGGGGCTGCATGGTCTTAACATGGTGTCACATGTTAAGTTGGTCGTCGACTTCTCTGTCATTGTTGCCTCTCATCCTCAGGTTGGCTAGTTCAGATTTATGTAATGCCCTCAAGGTTCCAAGAGAGGAAAGTGGGGCACTGTACTTGGAATTTACACAGTTACTTTTGCCATATTCTGTTGGTCAAAGTGAGTGATAAGGGCTAACCCAGGAAGGATGGGGAACTTACCTCTCTATCTCTGTCTCTAGGAGTGGAACAGCAAGTCAAATGGCAAGGGAAGTATGCATACAGTGGTGGGAGAAATTGTTGTGGCCAACTTTGCAAACAGTATATCATTCTTATTGGTGCTTTATTTTTCCCTTGCTTTCAGCTATAACTTCATTGTTATTTATATGTTTCCCTCTAGTATCTCCTCTTTTCCCTCTCCCTTCTATGCTGAATTTTCTGCTATCTAGTAGTCTCCTCTTAACCATAGTGTCAACGGTTTTGCTTTTCCTGGTTTTAGTTACCTGTGGTACAGTACAAGAAGATGAGAGAGAGAGAGAGACAGAGACCATTCACATAACTTTTATTATAGTATATTGTAACTGTTCTATTTTTTATTATTGTGGTAATTTCTTACTGTTCCTAATTTATAAATTAAACTTTATCACAGATATGTATGTATAGGAAGAAACATAGTATATATAGGGTTTGGTATTATAAGCAGTTTCAGACATCCACTGGGAGTCTTGGGCTGCATCCCCTGTGGATAAGGTGGGGGGACTACAGTCTTTTTGAAAACCCCTTAGCTTGTATTGCCAAAATGATATGTAAACTAAGAACAGACTTACCTTGAGAGAGGACCTAAGATATTCTACAACAATGTAAGTGCATGGTGGGTGTGAATTTCTCTCTCCTGTCTCTGAACCTTTTTTTTTTTTTTTTTTTTTGAGGAGCGAGTACAGAGGAGAGGGTACAGTGGCTTACTCTACCCTGTTGTTTGACTATGTGTTGACATAGTGTTTTCCAAGATATTCTTCATGTATTCCCAGAGTTTTGCAGAGCCTACCAGGAACTACTATGTAACACAGTATGAGAGGCAAAGCAGGACTTAAGGGTATCTTACCCTACCTCAGGCAGAGCATTTCTGCATTCATTTGTTTTACTCAAAGTTTTTGCAGGTCTGATTTTGTTTGAGCAAAGAGTTTCTTTGCTTAAAAAACAAAACTTTAAAACTACTATTTAGATAATTGGACTTGTTGGCTGAGTTTTGGATATGTGATGTTAATTATACATTTAAACCATAAGCACTTTAAGATTTTATAAAAATATATTTGCCTTAAGCCATTTCTAAAATATATTTTCCAAATGAGGGATTTAAATGCTTTGATTTTATCAATTACTTTAAAATGATGCTTTAAAAACACATTCTAGAACACAGCTATCCAAAATTTAGAGCATCAATTACACAAGAAGTAAAATTGTACAAAATTCAGGACTTATTTACATCTAAGTAAGTAGTGTGTGTAATAAAATAGCATAATAAAAAGGCTCTGAGTATATTGGTAGAGGCATATCATTTGGACCAACAATGAGGGAATAGACCTTTTTAAAAATTAACAACTTAATGTTTATCAGAAATTGCCTGTTTAAATGAAAGGGAAATAATTTGAAAAGAAAAATGTAATAAATAAGAGGGTGTATTTTTTGAGAATATAAAAGTTTAAATATTACAGTGTTTGTAAATATTGCTATAAATGCATATGTGATCCAGGGCTGAGCTCATCTGGAACTGGGAGGTAGGCCAATTTCTCTATACCCCATGGATGCCATGGGTGACTCCTTGACCATTGGGTATACAGAATGTTAATTGATGTTGTTTGTGTGTCTCTTGTAGTTCTCTTGACCTACAAAGAATCAAGGTGTAGAAGTTATATATTTGAAGGGCTGAGTTTGTGGAAAAATGATTAGTTTTTTTATAAATCTAGGAATTATGAATATAATTTAGAGAAAGGCAAATTTCAGTACAATAATGAGAACTGACCAAAAATTGATTTCAAATAGAACTGTTTTAAAAAGGGATTTGGGGCTGGATGTGGTGGCTCATGCCTGTAATCTCAGCACTTTGGGAGGCCGAGGTGGGCAGATCACCTGAAGTCTGGAGTTCGAGATCAGCCTTACCAACATGGAGAAACCCCGTCTCTACTAAATATACAAAATTAGCTGGGTGTGGCGGCACATGCCTGTAATCCCAGCTACTTGGGAGCCTGAGGCAGGAGAATCGCTTGAACCAGGGAGATGGAGGTTGTGGTGAGTCAAGATTGTGCCATTGCACTCCAGCCTGGGCAACAAGAGTGAAACTCTGTCTCAAAATAAATAAATAAATAAATAAATAATCTGGGGTGGTGGATTTGGTTGCCTGATAAAGTTGAGAATTTCCTATTCTAGGAGATGTTTAAGCAGAAGCTAGATAGTGATCTTTTAGGATCATTGCAGAGGGGATTCATTTCACAGAGAAGAGGATGGATTAGATAGTTCTAAGGCCTTTTTCTGTACTTAAGATTGTATGAGTGTTCCAAGTCTCTAAACTTCCTCTAGGGCAGTAAGTCCAACTGGGAGCAATTTTGTACGTCTTCCTAAAGACATTTGGCTCTGTGTGGAGGCATTTTTGGTTGTCATCATTGGTGAGGATGGCAGAGGGGTGCTATTTAATTAGGTAGAGGCCAGCACAGCCCTTCTCCCCTGCCATGAGCCCCACCCAGATAACAAAGAATTATCAACCCCCAAATCTCACTAGTGTCAATGTTAAAAAACTCTAGGGATTTAACTTAGAAGTGTTCCATTTGATCTTTAAAACTTATCTGGGCTTGAAGTTATTAGGCCAGCTAATACTGGCCTTTGGCAAAGTATGAAGTAGGAAACACTTACTTTGAACAAATTCTTGCCATATTGGTAACATCATCACTTTTATTGCCCTCATGCTCTGTACCACCCTTCTAGACCTATCCCTACTAACGATTCTTGGTTTCATCAGGCTTAGCTCCCTTGAGCCCTATTTCTTTAACATCTACTGTCTGTTACCTAGATAATCTGAAAAATGAGTATACCAGCTGATATTGCTTTAGTACTTTTTCCTTATGGTGGTAATGCCTCAATCTCTTTTTCTCTCCCAGTGATTCATGGTAATCCTGCTGGAGTCATTCATGATTCCAAGCTATCAACTCACAGGGCTGTAAAAATGTGCTGTAGGCCGGGCACAGTGGCTCACGCCTGTAATCCCAGCACTTTGGGAGGCCAAGGCAAGTGGATCACTTGAGGTCAGGAGTTCGAGACCAGCCTGGCCAACATGGTGAAACCCCATCTCTACTAAAAAT